TCCTTATTTAAGTTTACACTGTACACGGAGTAAATGTACCATGACGTTACTAAAACAAAAGACCACTTCTGTTCAATTTGTAATCCTAGGTCAGCGGTTCCTAGCCTGTAGGTCGCGACCCTTTTTTTGGAGGGGTCGAACAGGGGTCGCCTTAGACCATCGGAAAACACATATTCATTGAAGTTATGAAGAAGCAACGAAAATAATTGTATGGTTGGGGGGTCGCAAAAACACGAGGAACTGTATGGTTGGGGGTCGCCACAACAAGAGGAACTGTATGGTTGGGGGGTCGCCACAACAAGAGGAACTGTATGGTTGGGGGTCGCCAAAACATAAGGAACTGTATGGTTGGGGGTCGCCACAACAAGAGAAACTGTTTGGTTGGGGGTCGCCACAACACAAGGAACTGTATGGTTGGGGGTCGCCACAACAAGAGAAACTGTATGGTTGGGGGTCGCCACAACAAGAGAAACTGTTTGGTTGGGGGTCGCCACAACAAGAGAAACTGTATGGTTGGGGGTCGCCACAACAAGAGAAACTGTTTGGTTGGGGGTCGCAAAAACACGAGGAACTGTATGGTTGGGGGTCGCCACAACACGAGGAACTGTATGGTTGGGGGTCGCCACAACAAGAGGAACTGTATGGTTGGGGCTCGCCACAACAAGAGGAACTGTATGGTTGGGGGTCGCCACAACACAAGGAACTGTATGGTTGGGGGTCGCCACAACAAGAGGAACTGTTTGGTTGGGGGTCGCCACAACACAAGGAACTGTATGAAAGGGTGGCCACAACACAAGGAACTGTATGGTTGGGGGTCGCCACAACACGAGGAACTGTATGGTTGGGGGTTGCCACAACACAAGGAACTGTATGGTTGGGGGTTGCCACAACACAAGGAACTGTATGAAAGGGTGGCCACAACACGAGGAACTGTATGGTTGGGGGTTGCCACAACACAAGGAACTGTATGGTTGGGGGTCGCCACAACACGAGGAACTGTATGGTTGGGGGGTCGCCACAACACAAGGAACTGTATGGTTGGGGGTCGCCACAACACGAGGAACTGTATGAAAGGGTCGCCACAACACGAGGAACTGTATGGTTGGGGGTCGCCACAACACAAGGAACTGTATGGTTGGGGGTCGCCACAACACGAGGAAGTTTATGAAAGGGTTACAGCATTAGGAACGCTGTGAAGGCTAATCAATAGCCCGGGTCTCTAGCGTAGTTGGTTAAACCTGACTTTCGCGGCGGCCGGGTGAAGAACTCCTTGTGGCCCGGGTTCACTCTCGGGGGTAGGCAGAAAAGCCACATTTCTCCGAGATTAACGGTACTTATAATGGAATCAAGGCCGAATGGTTGCAATATCCATAGTACCGAGCCAAAGGCTTTACAACTCATGGTTTCTGGATAATTTTTTTTTTAAAAAAATGCGATATTCATATATTTTCCCCAAGTCTGATCAGACTACATTTTGCAGTGACAGGGAGCTGGTGGCGGTCCCGACTCACTGCCCTAACTCCCTGCACACCACTAATACCAGGCTGCAACCCATGTCGTGGTTTTCTGTATTTTTCTTGCGCTTCTCGAGTGGTTTGGGTGATAAATTTGTTCATGATTTTGCAGGTTTCTGCCACACCATTTATCTAACTCTTTCTTGGTCTTCCTCTCGCATTCTTCCCATTTTTTTTTTTTTTTTAGTATCCAGAAGCCATGAATTGTTAACCCTTAGGCTCGGTATTATGGATATCGCAATCCTTCGGCCTTGATCCCATGATAAATACAGTAAATCTGGGAAGATGTAGCTTTTCTGCCTACCCCCGGGCGTGAACCCGGACCACAAGGAGTTCGTCACCCGGTCACCGCGCAATCCGGTTTAGCCAACTACGCTAGCGAGCCGGGCTACCTTCTTCCCATATGTTCTGCTGCAAAAAGTCGTCCTACATGTACAGTAGTTTGGCCTGGCTCCAATCTCACCAGATGGCTGAACAATTTCATTCTTTGGCTGTCAACATAATGCAGACATGGTCTTATTTCAACTTTCTAACAATGGCATTTGTAACCCTGTCTCTTTTTGTGTTGTTAGTGACCTTACGGATTTCACATGTAGTTATTTTTTTTCTAGTGCCCTCTTCAAGGAATGTCATAAAAGGCGATTAAATAATGGTTTGCTAAAATCGGATGCGCTGGTCCAATGGTCGCAGATATCGCAACCTAGCTGTAAACCACAACACGATGTGACATCTACGCGCTTTCAAGAAAAATTGGAGTAAGTAAAAGTAAAAATAATTAGTAGTGTCTGGCTATATGTCACTATTACACAAATCAGTGACTTACCAAGAGAAATACCATTTTGTCAATAGACAAGTCAGGAGAAAACGGCTACCACAAAATATCCTTTATCGTGTGCCCCGCCGATAAGCGCAGGTGGTCATTTTTCGTCATCTCATGTGATCACCAGTATTACGGATCAGGTCAGAGTCCGTATTTCGTCCACCTGATATGGCCAAGCCTTCCAGTCACTTATCTCTTTGCCTTCCTCTTGCTCTCTCTTTCTACCAATCTTTCAGACTGTAACCAACTTGGTTACAGTCTGAAAGATTGGTAGAAAGAGAGAGGGTTGCCAGAAAAAAACTTCATTTTATGCCAAACCATTGCCCAAAATATGCCAGCAAATGCCAAATAAAGCTGACATTGTACCACTCCACATCAAAAGCTCTAGATTGAATTCCTCACTGGAGCCAGTGGAAGATACAGCGTAAACCTTTTGAGATGTAAAATAATTAAGCATTTTCTCAGATGGGATAAAGTCTTTGCACCTCATCTATAATGAATCACTAAGTATTAGTAGTGGGTTTTGGTTTTATATCCCGAACATAAATTACAGAGAGCCTTGGTTTATCGAAGTCACGATCCGTTTAGGAAGACAACAAATACAAAAAGAAATGGGCGAATCTCCAGGACATCACAACAAAGTCAAACTGAAATAAAGATGTTAACTGTGGGTCTACATTCCTTTTAGTAAATCTGCGTGTTTCTAACAGAGGAACCATGAAGAAAATTTGAGCACATCTTGGTAAGAAAGGCCAGAAAAACCCCAAATATGCCAATTCATTATCTTATGCCAATTCATTATCTTATGCCAGTTCAATTTCAAATTTGTCGAATCTGGCATAAAAAATGCCAATATGGCAACCCTTTAACCAAGTCCTCAAAACCATTCCGTCTAATAATGTGCAAACCAATGACAGACTGAAATTTTTTTTAAATTAGTTTACGGCAGTCAACCGTCTCCAGTTGAGATGCAGGAGTTTCCAGGAAAGACAGAATACGAAATCATGAAATCAGACGAATGCTAGGAATAAAGCCAGTCAGTCTTACAGGTCATCAAAAAACAACAAATAAAGTGGTTTGGACACCTAACAAGAATGCCCTGGTACTATCCGCCACAGCGAGCCACACTAAAACGTTACAACGGATATAGAGTGAGCGAAAGACCTCGGAAAATATGGAGTGATGGCATTAAGAACAGCCTTACAGAAATGAACATCAGTCTCAATAGTGCTCTTGACAGAGCTCATCAACGTACATTACATCTGCCCCCGACACTTCGATGAGGTAAAAGGTGGAAGAGAAGAAGAAGAAGAAGAAGAAGAAGAAGAAGAAGAAGAAGAAAAAGAAGAAGAAGAAGAAAGAAGAAGAAGAAGAAGAAGAAGAAGAAGAAGAAGAAGAAGAAGAAGAAGAAGAAGAACTGTCTTCAGAAGGATTGTCCCCCAAACCCACACCTCCGCTGCAATCAGGTGTACCACCAGAGAATGGCTAATGGAACATTCTTGTTATTTTATTCGGTGATAAAGACTGGTGACGGTCGACTGTATATGTGTGCAGGGGCACCGACACAAAGACAACAAAAGGGGAAGGGTAGAGGGCTCAACCTCTTTCAAACTTTTAGAAGGGAAGTGGGCTTAAAGAAGGGGGAGACTAAGCCTTGTTTCAGTGCACACTAGTAATCAAAATAAAACACTGACAGGCAAACAAATATAATAAATTAGTGGTGGGGGCATGTAACGTATCAACAAATACTTTAAAAAAGAACTATACATGGGGTCTTGGGGGGGGGGGGGGGGGGTCAAGGGTTAAGTACTCCATTTCTTAGTTTTGTTTTTGGGTGAGGGGTTTGGCGTGTTCATGATACTTGCAGCCCCATGTTCTGTCGCTCCTGCCTGCCTGTGTATTTTCTGTCTCTTGTTTGACACTCCGTAGTCGTAGTTTCGATTGTTAGTTTAGTTCTCTAGCTAAAACTGCTCTTCGCCTAATATGCTGCCAAGAAAGGAGAGGGTAGCTGAAGGCAGTGCTCTTCAACCCATGGACTGCAGAAAAGTCCAGGTTGGCTGCCGAAAATGTCTGCCTTATGTAAGAGGGTAGGTCAGTTAATTTTTTTTTTCGTCCAAGATTACATCTGTAGGACTAACACACGAAGGATGAAAATATAACTGGTACCAATCCCGCAAACCCAACTCAACCTAAAATATTTTCTAACCAATGAGTAGCAGCAGACGCCGTATTAGCTGACAAATGGAATTTTGTGACATGGAGTTTAACCAATAAAGTGCTATCTACATTTGTTTTGTTTGTTTCTGTGCTTGGTACTGTCAAAATAAATTGGCATTGAAACAAGATCTTCTGTTCTGGTGGTCCGCGGATGTAAAAAGGTTGAAAAACACTGAGTCCAAGGTAATGATCTTTAAAGACGACAAAAACAATTATAATAATAACAGTCAACATAAATAATAATAACTAGGAATCAAATAAATCAAGAGTAAACTGGAATAGAGTTTGAGCTGCTTTGAACTTATTTGCCAACCCTTATTTATTTTTGTTTTACAAATGAAAGAAAGCTGGAGAATAAGGAAGAAGCATAAAAACATTAAGGCGTGTTGCAAAGAAGGTGTAGATAATCTGTCCTATGTCCGCTGAGATAGGAAGTTGTCTGCGCATGTCTAGAACTTCATCAACTTACTGTAAGTATCAGGTGTGTATAGGCTCATGACGTGTGTGTGGTGATGTGTGTGAACGTGTCGTTGTGTGGGTGGGGAATTGGAATACTCCCTTTGTTTGTCCTTCACTTTCTCTACCGCTGGGTCTGGACTGGCTGAAGTGGATGAATGAATATTATCCCCGGCTCCAGACTTGTTATTAGAAGCTGCTGAATGTACTCCGGGACTCGGCCGACCCTTCTCTTGTTGTTCATGAACCTTATGAGCATGGTTGAGTCCCGTGTTGTTAGCCAGCCCAGGACCATCTCCACGTTGGGGTTCTACTGAATCCGGGGATTTTTTGCCGGTTTCAGCCAGGGGAACCCGGTAACCGAGTTGGCCTGGGTGGACATACCCGTGTGGACCATTGGTGTAGCCGATGATGTGAGGGCTCAGAGCTCTGTACATAGTATCCATCTGTACAGGTCTGAAGTGTGGGTAATAGGGTGCGTAAGGAAACGGCGTTCCTGCGGCTGGAAGAGAGCTGACGAGAGAAACGGGCAATGCTGCTGCTGCTGCTGACGATGATGACTGTAGTGAAGATGGTACTGTCAATGATGCCGTTAATGAAGGCGACGAGGAAGGTGCTGAACTTAGTTGTGGAATGCCTGGCGTACTAGACTGACTAGGAGGACGAGATTTTGGAGCTGGCTCAAGTGATGAAGACTTTGACACCAGCTGAGAAATGCTGTCTTTGGTATCGAATTGTTTTGCGTTGACTGGCTCCAGTCTGGGAACATCCTCAGAGAGGACGCATTCTTTCTTGATCAAGTCATGGGGGATGAGATCATAAAGTTTGTTTTCAAATGAATTCCTCGAAGCGATAGGCGAAGAGCTCGACAAATGACAGTTGCTGCTGGTCAGTTCAGCTGGACTCTTTCCTTTATCCGGATGTGGATGATCATACATTTTCTGCTTTTGGTGTTTAAACATTTTGGATCTGTGCATTTCATGCCGCTGCTGTTTTGTTGGATGATAGTTCAGTTTGTCTTGGCTCGTCTGGGGCTTTAATTCCGTGTTTTCTTTCAGACTGGGGTGGACATCGACATGTCTGTTTTTCACAATATGATTTTTACCACCGTCTGACCATTTCTTATTTATGTGACCTTCTGTGAAGTCATTTCCTAGATGCAGCTTCGCATTTCGTTCCAAATCAGAGCCTGGATTATGTTTGACGTGTGAAGACCCTAAAGATGCCTGCTTTCCTGAGCCATCCTCAGATTTGAAAGCGTGGTCGTGTTGTTGTTGTTGCAACCGCTTATGTTGGTCTAACGCTTGCTGGGCTAAGTTGGCGTATGAAGAATCATTGGCTGCAGAGTTATAACCAGCTAGCCTATACTGCAAATGGGCAACCGAGGGAGACACGCCTTGGAGGTGAGAGAAGTAATTAAACATGGACTTTTGCTGGAGATCCGTGTCGTGCATATTATGTCCTCCCTCCTTCTTATCATATGCACTTTCACTGGAACTGGGCCGCTTTACTTCCATGTCATCTTTCTTTTGTATTCCATCAGGTAAAGTAGGCGATGATATCAGGCTACCCATGCCGTGCTGCAAGTAGCTAGATGACCCTCCGAAGTAGAACCTGTTTCCGTAATGCTGGGAGATTGGGTTTGTATCCTGCCCCAAATGCAAAGACCCGTTTATTTGTCCATCTTTCTCAACTGGGGAATCTTTTTTAGGGGCTGTCTTGCTGGAATGGAGAATTGCTATCATTGGCATCTGAAATATCAGAGTAGGCAGGGCTGTGCACGTCCTCTGTGGTCATGTTCTTGTTGTCGACACTGGAATAAACAGACAGTGTTGATGGAGGGATCACACGTGACCCGCTTGTTGCTGTCAGGTCAGATGTGACAGAGCATGGTTGCTTGCTGGAGCTCGTAGATGAGTGGAATGCTAGTTTGGAAACATCATCCCTGGAACAGGACGTGTCAAACTGCTCCGAGACACTGGCGTTCTTTATCACAGCTGTTCGTTCAGATTTGTATGTGTCATCCTGAGAAATCACATCAAGCATTGGTCTGCTACAATCTTTTGCTGATGCCAGACCTTTTAAGTAAGGACTTTCTGCAGCTGATGTCCCAGTTTCCGCGTGATCTTTCTTCTTCTTTGACTTCCTTGGCTTCTCTTTGGTGGGCTCCAACAGCACTGGGCTAGACACTGGATAATCCCTTAGGATAGCCGGCTTTGGCTGGATTGGTTTCAGCGTGGGTGTATGCCCGTGCGAAAACAAACCAGAGTTCACAGTTTGTGAAAATGGACTGTTTACGTCGGCCATCTGTGAGGACGGAGTCGGTACAATGGGGCGTGAAGAGGAAATGGACTTTACTGAATGGGAGTGTCTGCCGTTAGTCTGCTTGTCTGTGGTCATAGTTAGACCTAGAACTGAAGTGGAAGTTGTGGAACTTGTCTGGCGAGCAGCTGACGTCTTCAGAGGTAAAGTCTGAGTTGTGACCACGCTAAGATTGTGAGACGCTTGTGAAGCTAGCGAGATACCACTCGGTGGAACTGTAGAAATAGAGTTATACGTGTGTGACAGTGCAGTAGTTAAGGAAGATAAATCTATACCGGTATTATTCGTCACTGTTGAATGTGTAGTTTCACTAATTGACGATACTGAAGGCACTACAGTAAGCGAGGAGTCAGAAATATCTCCTACAGCGGAGTATTTTGTCTTACATCCCATTGCAGATGAAGCAGGAGAAGCTGGTTCTTTCTGTACACTCACATCACTATTAGGAAATAGAATTTGGGGATCAGTTTTACAAGGAACAGCTGACTCTGCTTCACAACTACTGCTAACATTATTACTGTTACTTAGTTCTTCACCTCTGCTAGCCCGTACAGCGTCCGTTTTGTGGGCATTAGCTTGACCGGTGGCTTTGCTTGCGATCTCTTTCAAGGGTATATCATCATCAAGAGAATCTTTGGAATCTCTATCTGGGACCATCTGCTGCTCCTTCATTCTCTGTCTCTCCTTTAACTTCATTCTCTCTGACCTTTCAGACATAGGTATCTTCTCCCTCTTATCTGACTTCTCCTCGTCGTCTTCATCGTCGTCGTCCTCATCTTTAGTATCATCTGTAAGGGATGATTTACGGTGAGCGTGTGTTCGGTGATAACGCAAGCCATTCATATGTTTATACTTCTTCTGACAGTTAGGTTCAGGACACACAATATACCCATCTGGCGTCGGACTCTCTGCTCCCGTTGCTCCATGAGAACAAGGGCGACTTTTCTTGGCTTTATCTCCATCCATATCATTGGGTTTATTTCGCCTTTTCAGGCTGCTGCTGCAACTAACGTCTGACTTAGCCGGACTGGGCGGCGCAGTGAAGTTGCTGCTGCTGCTGTTTACAGTCCCGCGGCGTCCCTTTCGAAGTCGCCTGCCTTCTGGAAGTTTCTCGTTGGTTTGGACAGAAGTTCGACAGTTGCGTTTACCCCGGCCTTTGGGTGTTCTGGTGTCAAAATCGCTGACTGGAGAATCGCATCCGTTGGGTCTGAAATAAAAATAAAATAAATATGAGTGTGAATATTCAATTCTATAATCATGAAAGCAATAACATGAGAAAAATGGTTCCCCGCAGAACGGTTAGGCGACTGCAGAGAGCGCCGCACAAATCACGCGCTCTGTAGCTCCAACGGCGATTCCAGAAGATATCCCCAAAAATTTACTCTAGGGACTGAAAAGGTCGTCCGTGAAATGAACTCATTAAACAGCTGTGGGCAGGGGCGCTTGTGTTAGGGCCAGTTCTAGATGTTCTGCGGTCGTTGAAAGCTGTGTCGTCATGTGTGAGTATAGAATACGCGACATCGGCCCTGGTGTAACTGGAGGCAAGACAACGTGACACCCCTCTGACGTAGACCAGTCTGAGAATCTATGAATAAAAAGGTCATTCAGTGTGTAGATGGGCCGGGAAACGTTAACTGGACCGCCTGTGCCACACTGTGTGTAGCACTCCCCCCCCCCCCCCCCCCCAATCTCTATAAAGTAGACCGCTGGCCATTCATGGAATATACATTGGCCTCTCAAACTAAAAAAAAAAAAAAAAGCTGGCCACCATTGATCTCTAAACAGGAATGCAGTTCATACAACTGACGGTGCAGACGATCACGTGACTCCATCATAGTAAATTTCCCGTAAAATAGAGCGCCTGTACATTGTTTGGGGAGGGGAGGGGCAGCTTACCTATTTTAAACTCAGGAGGCCCCCATCCCCCCCCCCCTAAAAATATGGTTTAGGGGCTATTTGTGCCAAAGCAGCGCCGTTTTTCAGAGCTCCTGCTAAATGTATTCCCGTGGTCGAATTCTTTTTCTTCACCTTTACCGGCAGTAAGCTCCGGCGGAAAGTTCTGGTTGTTCGTCCAACTCTGGATTTTAGTCTTGTTCCAGAACCTGGCTGTTGCGTACACATCCGTTTTACAGATCTAACTTATTTAATATTTGCGTGTAGACTTGTTGCCTTGCCTCTGCGGCAGATGCACTCTCACTTCGAATGAAGCCTTCAATTAGGGGACTCTTACGATATACTCGTTGGGGAGGCGGTGAGTCTATTCTGATTTTCCCCATAATGGGACCCCGGAATCCACACGGGGAGATCGAATTACAAAGTAAATCATTTTAACACCCCACCGTCACATATAGATTACGTTGCGGACACAACATATGTACAAGAAATTAAAGATCGGAGATTCAGAACTGTGCCTGTGAAGACAGGCACCACAGAAAAATACTGAATATGTGCTACAGTTTTGCTATCTTTAAGCAGTAGAGATATCCCAGGTTCGGCTAGTTAACGTTCGAACGTAAACCAAGGTGTATGGATCGGTAAAGAACGCGTCGCAGCACAGACCTCAAAGAGGCTGTGGCATTCTCATCTGAAAGCCATTGTTAGGGACAACCAAAACAAGAAGATGTAACACCCACCCGTAAGACAGTATGAGTTACGGAATTAGCAAACATAACATTCTCGATATCCTATTTTCTGTAAACGTCTGTGACCTGACAAGCGTCAAAGATTCCATCTAAATCAGTGGCTAACTTTCTAATGCCGCGACATTAAATACAGTTCATCTTCTTGTGGCGAACCCCGACCATACAATTATTTTCGTTGCTACTTCATAACTCCACTGAATATGTGGTTTTTCTTGAGCGACCCTTCTGAAAGGGTTGTTCGAGCCCAAAAAGGGGTCGCGCCCTACAGGCTGAGAACCGCTGATGTGAAGATCGCAACACTGCTGAGCTAAAATTAGCTTTAATTTAGTACAGTATTCTTTACAGGACGACGGAGAACCATCCCGGCAATTTTTTTTTTTTTTTTTTTTTTTTTTTTTTTGTGGTTTAAATTACTGTTTGTGATGTTACTAGGCAATATTCAGTAGTTTGTCATTGCCCTGGCAGACGCAGAAGCTGGAAGCTGCGGAGATGTGGTTTTATAGACGAATGATGAGAATACCCTGGACACATAAAAAGATTAATGAAGATGTCTTGAAAGAAACTGACTCAGAAGACAACTGATTGCCCGCATAAGAAAGAGACAATCTACCTTCTTTGGTCATGTGATGAGGAGAAAATTAGAGTACATCGTAACAGTAGGAAAGTTGGAGGGGAGGCAGAGGGAGATCAAGAGAAAAGAATGCAGGACAGTTTCACATCATGGCATGGAGGATCATCTGTGTCAGAGTTGACTGAAATTACACGAGATAGAAGGTTGTGGAGAGAGATGACTACCAATACCACTGGGGCATGCACTTTAAGAAGAAGAAGAAGAAGAAGAAGAAGAAGAAGAAGAAGAAGAAGAAGAAGAAGAAGAAGAAGAAGAAGAAGAAGAAGAAGAAGAAGAAGAAAAAGAAGAAGAAGAACAAGAAGAAGAAGTCGAGGTTGGTCTGAAGTATGGTTGAGAGATATGTACAAGGGAGATATGAATGATACCGATGTGTAAATATGTGTTAAGGATGTCACAGGCATTGCTGCACGGAGCGAAACATTGAGAACGCAACAGGGTTACATGAGACAATTTTTGCAGGTAGATGAAGAGCTCAGCATCTGTAAAGAAGCTCGTTTAATCACGCCATGGCAACGATGGTCGTGGGAGACATGTCATAAGGCGAGCGGGTCTTGCTAGTCACAATGGTTATTACCAAGAAAGAATGCAGTGACAAACTACCTACAGAGATGCCAAGAAAAATCCCTATTCAAAGCATGGGAAAAAAAACTCCCCTGAGAACTTTGTGATTACGGGCAATCGTAATGTGAGAGGGGGGGGGGGAACTTTGCGAAAAGATTAATTCTTGGATGAAATGACGGGACAAGCAGACATGACTGGTCTGCGAATCCGGTGATGGCGGGAGATGGCGAATGGTCATCCTGGGAGATGACCAACCATCACTGCCTCCATTTATCGGCATGGCATACGATAGTAAAGCAAAGTAAAGGACCCTTGCCCCACATCTTCAGGCGGATTGGGCATATAGGGCTAGACATATATTTTATAGACCAATCGGCATTTAGTCGGTTATAAGGTCAACAGCACACCGGCCGCCTTTACTTCCCAGAAAGATACTTAGCACCCATTTAAGGCAGGGTCGTTCTTCGAGCCAAGGTCATTTTTTAAGGGGGAAAAAGTCCACTTTCATCAGGATCTGAACCAACAACCTTCTGATCCGCAGGCGAGCGTCTAGCCACTACACTAGGGCGGCTCCCATGGTCCATGATACTGCTGCGATATTGCATCAGTTGCAGATAGGGGCAGGCTAACACAGAATGTGTGCAATATAGCAATTATTTGCTGAACAAAGTCTGTATCAACACCGCCCCGCGTGAAGCAGATAATGCTAGAGCTCGGCAATCGATTCTGCCGAGCAGGCGAGATCGATTCAACGTCACAGGTCGAGAAACTGATGAACAGGAAATTCAGCGCCACGGCTCAACCAAGGTCATTCGTAGTGGTGGTGATGATGTTGATGTCTCTTTTTATTTATTTATTTTCCTGCCCCAATTCTTATAAATCTCACTGCACGTGTTGTAATTCTGCGTTTATGTTTTGACAGAACTGTCCATTTTTGACAATATACAATGGAACAAAAAAAGTATCTGGAGAAACAATACGTACAACCAACCATCTGCACATATCTTGTAAGAATATAAGGCACGTGCATGTATTTGTACATCCGTTTTACAGATATAACACATATGTATGCAGACTATTGGTTTCTAGCCTCTCAGACTGATGCACTCCGACTTTAAGATGCTGTGAGATAATCGATTTCATTCAGTAAACAAACAAGGAGCTGTCTTCCAGGTAATAGGATGGCGAAGGTTCGAAGAATCTGGTTCTCCTAAATTCTCTCCCGTCCTGTCAGTACACTTAGGACTCCTTTCTGTTCGACCACCTATGGATATATTCTCCCACTTATATGTTTGTTACTTTTTTTTTCTTCGCGCTTTATCTTTGCACTACGGTTTAAATAGGAGGTGTTATGTCTTTTAGTGTCGACATATTTTAACCGCGCAGTACTTGATTAGTTAGGTTTGCCGGAATGGTATCCTTTCATGTGAGTTTCTCTGACAGAGTGGTCCAATGTGTAATACAACCCTCCTCCTATCTAATCCAAGCTTGGGACCGGCAATGGCGGAGATACCATCCTCTGTAAAAAGGGAAAAGGAAAAATCAACGCTTTGTCATTCTGTACAGCTTGTTCATGTCGCGTTGTTTGTAACTTTGGTATTCTTTCATTGAGTGATCGTAGCTTTGTTAGTAAGGTCTTTGTTGATTATTTATTTTCTGGTTTCAACTGTCGCCTTGCTTGTCAGCAAGGGTTTCTGCACCCCTGCTAAATTGCTCTGCTGTTTCTTTTTTGTCAAAGAGGACTAGCGGTTGAATGTTCAAACAACACAAGAACCCTACTTGCCGCTGTTAACGTGTGTAAATGTTTGTTCGCGACGGCTTCCTCAATACAGTCGTCCGTTTACCGGACGCTGTTATCTTTGCGTGTCATCGTGGTGCGCATGAGTATGTGCTTGTGTGAAGTATTAACCCCCTCCCCTCACCACACACACACACACACACACACACACACAAGCTTTCCCAGCACATTACTCATCCCTGGCCGCAATCCCCAAAATGTCCCCTAGCTGAAAAGAGATTTACTCTTCAGGGCAGAAAGATCGAAACAACCTGGAGACAGCTTGGGCCGTCAGAGCTTCCATCGATCTTCCTGACCAGCGGCCAAAGGTCACCTTCACCGTCTTCTCTCAAGTTCGGCCCGTCGTTCGCCTGTCTTTCTATGAACGTCAGTAACATATCTATCTGTTCAGATATCAGCGTCTGTAACGATATTCGCTTGCCCCACCAGTAACATATATGTCCAGATAGCGTCTGTAACAATATTCGCTTGCCTAACCAGTAACACATCTGTCCAAATATCAGCGTCTGTAACGATATTCACTTGCCTTAGTATTATTGTTAGTAACATTGTTTGTCAATACAGTGTGGGTTCCG